TTTACACATTGAAACAATCAACACATAAAATTAAATGACATTAAGTTTAGCTGTCACTAAAATTTTTTAATTTTCTTTAACAAACAAATTTGTTCCAAAAAATTAATCATAAAAAATTGCATTTTTTATTTTATAAAATTCCTACATGTCAATTTTAGAAAAAAAGTTTTTTTTGTCATAATTTATTTTTAACAAAAATTATTAAAATGATCAAATTTCTGCTAAATTAATTTTTATCTTTATCACAATTAGCTCAATATTAATTAATTATTTTTACTTTCGTTAAAAGTCTGAACTTTGTAATGTCAACCTCACTTCTTTAATATTGACAGTTAGATTGTGATTTTTTTTGTTATTTATTTTAATTTTAGCAGTTTTTACAGTCAATTGCGAGCGACAAGGATAGTTTGAATGCGCCAAGAATAATTTGCGTGCGACAAGTAAACTTGTCGCACTCAAATAACGGTTTAATTTATGAAAAAACTCACGCATAATTTTAAAATGGGCAAACAGCTTTTTTTCAACCCCAACAGCGAGCGCCAAGATACTACTTTTCCCGCATGAGTAATACAAAAATATTGATACTATTGAAAATAAATGTAAATATTGATTTGTTATATCAAAATAAGGAAAAAAATTATATTTATTTTTAAAATCTCTAAATCCGCACTTTTTTATTTTTAAACGAAGAAAAACTATTTTTTCTTTTTATCCATTAACAAAAAAGTAAAGAATTTACTCTATGGAGTTGTATTAATCAATAGTATAAATAAAATCCTTTGTGGAGTGAATTTCAATCCAGAGGGATCGAATAAATTAAAAACCATCCACTTTGCGAATTTTTTAGAATTTATTATGAAGTTTAAAATAACTTCTAATTTTTTATACAAATGGTGTACAGTTTTATACATTATGTGCTGAGTTTGAATTAAATAAATTTATTATTTAGTGATAATCGGCTAAACATAAATGCATTAGTATAAGTAAGTGAAACAGTGTCACTAATTGTTAAATATTTCGCTGCGTTACTAAATTTTGACTAGAGTAGTGTGAGAGAAAATCTTAAAAACGTGACTTGAATAATGATGATGCATAATTTATATTAGCATCGTGTGCACATTGCACTCCTAGGGTGGATGATATTATTAATTCATTAAAGGGTTTCAATTAAAATAAGAGTTTTCCAAGTGCTGTTTATTAAATACTGAGTTAAGGAAAGTTGATTTTAAAGATAGAGTAGTTGTGCTTGCATAATGTTTAGCTCATCGCGTGGCTAGCAAATTATACCCACGTCCTCTGAGATCAGCAATTTACATCGCGTGATTATTATATGTAGCACGACATAGCCTCCGGGTGGTCGACGGTTAAATAGAGTATTCATAAAAATATGCTTTATTTATTTATTGAATAATTATTCAGGCAGTTATTGCTTTTTTTAATGCTGAATGTTGTTAAAATATTGCTACTTATAAGGGTTTTTTTTTGTTCATTTGTATTTTACTACAGCACAAATATCCTTAATTATTTTTTATGGCTTTCAAGGGCATGTACAAGTTTTTTTCATTCAACTCGTAGAAGTTCCTCATTTATTTTTATGGTTAATAAGATGGCACAAAAATTAGAAAAACGGTTGACCCTGAAAGGCCATCCCTGCAACTTCCCACCAATTCTATACCTAAACGCTTGAAATTGCATTTATGACGTTTTTGAGCTCTTCAAGCTCATAAATACAATTTGTGTTATTTTGAGCTCTCCGAGCTCAAAAAATAGCTGTTGTATGCTTTTGAGCTCTTCGAGCTCAAAAGTTTGATAAAACACTACTTTTTGAATTTTTAAATCGCAATAACTTTTGAATGAAATAACTGATTTCCACGCGGTTGGTGGCATTCGACGCAGTTTTTTGAGCTTCATTAAGAATCTTCGAGTTAAAATTGATAGAACGAGAAATTTTGGAGTAATTCCGGAAAAACACTTTTTTCGGTTTTCTTTCGTCAACGATAACTCACGAACGAATAAACTAATTTAGACCGGACTGGCGGCGATCGACGTGGATTTTTGATGTTACGAGCTGATTAGTTTTTGGAATTGATCGGTAGAACCGTTTAAAAGTTATTCTAAAAAAACCCCACTTGAAAAATTTTTTCATATAACCTGCATTGAAAATGCGAGTTTCAATGCCTGTTGAGCCAACTGAAACTAGACAGTTTCAGACCAATGCGACTGTGCCGGGCAGGAATCAATTATTACTTCCCGGCGGAGAGAAAATGACGAATTCCTGCCCGCGAGATGAAGTTGCAGCTTTATTTTCAATCCTATCAATTGTTCGTTTATTTTATACTTTTATAATTGTCATTCTAACCGTTAACTGTACTGACACATTATAATTCTGTTATTAAGCATAAATAAGAATTACAAAATAAAACTATTCAATTTACGAATAATGTTAGATAAAAAATAAACTATTACTTTCTATTTTGTTATAAATATAATAAAATGGTATTTTCGCTATTCGTCTGAAACTATCTAGTTCTGGTTGGTTCCAGACAATGAAACTAGCATTTTTAATGCAACTTATATGAAAAATATAATGTGTGACGCGGGATGAAACACGATTTCAGACCGAGTGCTGCCAGCCCTCGCTTCGCTCGGGCAGGCAACTTCACTCTGGTCTGAAATCGTTTTGTTTCATCCCTAGTCACACAATGTACTATTAACTTTTCGCTAAGAAAATCGACGATTTAAAAAAATTGGGAAGTTATAGTTTTCACCCCGTTTTACGAAAATCGAATTTTCATCGAATCTCGACGTTTCAAGGTCCTAGGAAGCTTCCCTGACTATTCCGGCGATGGTGTCTGTATGTATGTGTGTATGTGTGGGTATGTGTGTGTGTGTTTTTTTTTTCCTTTAGGGGGGGGGGGGAATCCTTTTTACGGATTCTAGACATAGATGTTTAGCCTGGATATGTGGCGACTCGACGCAATGTCATACTAAAACTTGACGCTGACGCCCCTACCCACTAAACCCTAAACCCCTTTCTCTTCTATTCTCTGATCCCCCATGGTACCGCCGTCAGGCATTTCTTCACGGGGGGAGGAATTAGCTGCCGCTCTTCGTTCTGGTGGCTAAGATGTTATTTCTTCCTTCTGGATTCTGTCTTTTGCTCTTTTTCTCTCGATGGAACGCAGCTCTGTAAGCACTTCTGTGGCAAAAGTGTTCGTTGCATTCCAGGCAGCTTCTGAAGACAGCATTGCTTCTACGATTGACTCTGGTTGAATTGTCTTCTTCAGGATCTTCTCCAGCTCCTCACGTTGTTGATTGAAACGCGAGCACTTGAACAAAACGTGCTCTGCATCTTCAGTGGCTCCGGGGCAGGACGGGCACTCCGGAGAGTCGTCATGCCTAAAGCGGTGAAGATAAGCCCGAAAGCAGCCATGTCCTGACAACATCTGCGTTAGATAGTAGTTGACCTCACCGTGATTCCGGTTCAGCCAAATGTCGATCTTTGGTATGAGACGATACGTCCATCTACCCTTCTCTGCGGCATCCCACTGAGATTGCCATCGTGCAATGCTGTGCTGTCTTTGTTCCGTTCTGAGTTCTTCTGCGCTCAATGTTGTTGACCTCTTTCATTGGTAAAGGTTCCGTCTTTCTTCAGCTAGGACTCTGAGAGGTAGAGTTCCAGAAATGACGCACACTGCTTCCTCAGATATTGTGCGGAAGGCGCAAGCTACTCTTAGGGCACTCAGACGATATACTGGTCCAGCCTTTCTCCATGCTTCTTGTAATTCTAGCGCATCAGCCCAAATGGATATTCCGTACGTAAGCACTGATGTGACTACAGTTGCCAACAATAGTCTCCTACTCTGCTTTAGCCCTCCAACGTTAGGCATCAATCGTGCGAGACTTGCCCTTACTACTGACGCTTTGGCACTGACGTGTTCCACTTGCTGTTTAAAGTTGAGACGGGCATCAAGCATCACTCCCAAATATCAGATATAAGGTTGTGATGTGATTTCTTGTTCGCTGACTTTAAGCTTGATGGTCTCTAACGCTTTTCTGCTGGTAATAAGCACTGCCTCAGTCTTATGTTTCGCCAGTTGAAGATTCATTGTGTCCATCCACTGGTTAACTTGCTGGAATGCTAGATCAAACATGTGGTGAATCTCGTCCAGGTGTTTAGCGACAATCACTACGGCCACGTCGTCCGCATACGCTACAAGTTTAACATTCCTCGGGATCTTTAGCCTTAGGAGCCCGTCATACATGATATTCCACAGCAGTGGGCCAAGAACAGAGCCCTGCGGAACACCTCCGATGATTTCGTACTCTTTCGGACCGTCCTTTGTGTTATATCTCAGGACTCTATCCGTGAAGTAGCTAGCTACTATTTTACGTAGGTATCCTGGCACGTTCTTCTCTTGAAGAGCTTGCATAATGCAGTCCCAGTTAGCAGAGTTGAAGGCGTTTTTGATGTCTAACGTCGCCACCAGGCAGTACTTCTTCGTACCACCTTTCCATTTGGTTCCTGCAATTGCCTCCTGGGTGTACAATCGTCCCAGAAAAAGAATTACACCAGGTACACTCGTTTTCATAAATTCTCAGAGCCCCTAAATATAGTATAATATAGGTAATTGACTATAATATAACTATACTTATGGGAGTCCAGCATTCCTGAAAGTGAGTGTACTAGAATAGGCATTTGATGTTATTGCTGGGGTTAATAAGATGCAGTAAGAGTAAATGTAAAAACGTATAAAATAAAAGAAGCGCGCAACCATTACTTATTGTTGCTCTTTCGTACTAATATAAACATTGAGCGTGTTCAGCCGAACTAAGTCCTGAGTAAACTTAGTAAGATATGTATAGTATAGTAGATAGATATATGTATAGCAGGGAATGCTTTGACTATACTTAGGCTAACTAAGTTTATTCAGGACTTAGTTCGGCTGAACACGCTCATTAACTATCTCTATTATTTATTGTTTTATCATTTTTATCAGCGACAATGGCTGCTGCTACGCTTAATAACGAAATTAGTATTATTTTTGCTTCTTGTAAGTACATATTTATATTTACTTGGTAAAAATAATTATGAATGATAAATCATTAGACAACTGACAATTTTTTGATTTTTTTTTTCGGTGAATGAATTTTTATCATCTAATTAAAAAAAAATTTCATCTATAGTTTTTAGAATTCCCGCATGTTCAATTTTATTATAAATATTTACTGACTGCAAATAAAATTCTAAAATTTGTCACCTGTCTGCCAATTTCAGAAACATAAGTAATCTTCATTAAAGAAATGGCAATGACAATTGCTTATATATTTACAGATAATTCTGGTAGTCGACGATATGTATTTTATTTCCAAATAGATGATCAACCTGCATATCGAGTAGAAAATCTAGATTTTCAAACCTACTTGAAAATTAAACGTATGTACGAAAAATAAATTAAAATTTTTTGCCATTATTAATTTTCTTTATATTATAGATGATAATAATGAAGCCTTTGCATTTATCACAAGATTAATTGAGCTTTGAAAATATCCACTTCATTCTGAAGAATTTACCAGGGTCTATAAAAGCATCGACTGCATTGACTTTGATCTGATTAATTAATTAGTAACTTAATGAGTTATACTTGTAATAAAACCAATTATTATAAGCTAAAGAATAAAATTAACTAATTATCGAATAATATAATTATTGACTTTTTCTAATACGATTATAAAAATTTTCAATGACACAGAATTTGTTAGATATTTCACCAAATTTGTATTTTATTTATATAGTGAATGAGTTTTAAAAAATTACACTTGTTGATTTAAATAATTTCTACATGTGGAATTTTTTCTCATTTTAACTGCTACAATTTATTTGTTATAATATTTAAAAAAAATTATATGTCTCAATTTTAGAATCAAATTTTTAAATTACTTAAAAAATACTTTCTTTGAAAATTCCCGGTTATCAGCGCCATTTTATTTTCAGACGATCGATTCCGACTCTGAAGAATCGATCTGTCGATTCATCTTGCTCTGAATAATCGATCTAAATAATCGAATCGACAACAGGGAAAGATCGATTCTAGTAAAAATCGATTCTGAATCGTGCATCCCTATATTGGGTTATTCCTATTGGGATATGATCGGGTAACTGTCGGGTAAACCCAACATGAAGATGGAAAAATTTTGGTTGGGCTTACCTAATTGGGATATTATTGGAAACTTGTTGGGCAATACCAACGTTGAAATTAATAACTCAGTGATGGGTTTGCTCGAGTGAGATACTTTTGGGAACTTATTGGGATAACCCAATGTCAGAATTAGTATCGCTATCGGGTTTACCCAGGGGTATTATCGGAAACTCGTCGGCATATCCTAGCGTAAAAATTAACGCACCAATACAAAAGTTTTTTTTTTTTTTTTTTTAACGAATTAATAAATTTTTTCATATTTTTGTTTTTAATTTAGTTTTCATAAGTATCACTTTTATATCTCTACAATTATTTTTAATACCATGTTTGAAAAAACCATTAACAAAAATTGAAAAAGATAAGTTAGATTTAAACTATCTATAATATATTAATATATAGATAAACTGTAGATATAGAAGCTTTGGGCGACTTCTTCTATTCTATATTTTAAATAAGGTTTCTCTCTCTTTCTTTCCCTCATTCTTCCTCTGAAATGACTACCTGAAATTTATGTTAAACCATGTGCTAAAAGTGTTCAAATCCTTCATTAAAATTTTTTTTGGTTGGTAATTTTTTATTTACTTTTTATAACTGCGTACTGAATGTGTTTGCAAAATGACTATTGGCGACCGTGAATACATTAGACGTAAGCTAGGACGTTTAAGAACTGGATGGCATCGGGAAGAATTTTAGCTACAAGATGAAGATGATCAAGCTGTTAATGATGTCCGAGACTCATCATCTTGTTATAGTGATACTGTAAATTTACCTGAACGAATTAATGAAAATAGATATTTTTTAGGTAGATTTCATAAAATATATCTATTGCATTGGCCCTTGTGTCAAAATTCACACAGAATTTCGTTACTATATCAATTATTTAGTCGAGTAAGGCTTACAAATGACGTTGGTTTGGAAGTTTATATAGATCCTCTCCACAATCCTTTCTCAATCTTTTCCTACCAATTATCCTGTTACGTGAATGTTGGAACGCTTCACGTAATAATTATCCGTAACTCCTATTCTTTCCCGCTTCACAGCATTATTTATATTTGTTAAAAATGCTAGCCGTAAGATGGACGGTGTGGCTTAATGTATATAGAATAAGTGAAAGAACCAACGGTTACCATAGCAACGATTAGCATGGCAACGAAAAGCGACAACAATGAAAACGTCACATCAACTTTTTACTAAAGGATTTTATTTTGAGAACGATTCCTATAATGGTATAGGAATGATTCCTATAATATTCTAGGAATCCTTCCTATACCATTATGAAAATAGTTCCCATAATGATATAGGAACCAATACTATATCATTATGGGAATATTTCCCATAATATTATGGGAATGGTTCCTGTAATTGTATAGGAATCATTCCTATAATTATAGGAACCATTCCTATATCATTATGGGAACCATTCTCATCGTTATGGGAAATGTTCCCATAATTCTGGGAAAATTTCCTATAATTATGGGAACAGTTCCCATAATTTATGGGAACAGTTCCTATAATTGCCTGGGAACTGTTCCCATAAAATTATGGGAATAGTTCCCATATTTTTCTTTCCGTGTACTCAATTAATGTTTCATCTAGCAGTAAAAATAATTTGTTAATTTTTAAACATATTTTATTTATAAGAATATTTGTTAACTAAAACTTTTATTATTAGAAAAACTTTAGTATTAGAAAATAATTTTAGACCGTTTATGGTCATAAGCCTATTTTCTTTTCTTTAAGCTATTCAATATTCTTTTAAATAGTTTTCTCTTTAGAATTTGCTGTACCTCATTTAAAGGTAAACCTTTCAGCCTAAAATTTTAAATACTATCGTAAATT